GAAGTCGACTCATTTCTCCATAAGACTGAATGGTATCTGTGTGTTATTGCAACCCATGGAGTCGCCCCCTGCTGGTTGTTACAGAGAATGCAGGTTTAAGACATTTCCTCATTGGCTTCACTTTACAGACCCAGAAGCTCTGTCCATTATTTATACTGTCAGTGGTTTGTTGTAGTAAGAGTTGTGCCGGCAGGAGTCAGCGGTTAATGCTGTCAATGCAAATGAAACTGTCCTGCAAAAAGATATTATCTCTCCTCTGTGACGCAACCTAACCACAGAGCAATCAGATAAATATTCATGTTTATAACTCACATGGACTCATTAACCTATTTATAACTTATTAATTCAGTTTGGTCTGATGTCTGCGTTTGGATGCGACTCTCTTTGTGTAAGGGCGTCTGTGGGACGTCGATGCAGGAAGGAAGGAAGGAAGGAAGGAAGGAAGGAAGGAAGGAAAGTGTTGGTTTGCAGTATTTCAATCTGATGATTGTTTTTTACAGTCTGCTGGTGTTTAGATTTATAAAGGAGTATTCAGCTACAACAAACCACAGAGAGGTGACAAATTAAAGGAAAGACCTGAATGAATGAGTGGAGAAACATGACCAATGTAGATGCTTTCATACAGGACACGAGGGGTCATTGAATGGTTTGATGAGAATGAAAATGATGTTAATCAATTGAACACGTATGGCAGAATGAAGAGGATTTCAGAGACAACTTTGGTATATTTGAGTTTACATTTATAGAGCTGAAATATCTGCAAATATTCAAACAACTCCATAGTGTCCTAAAAAGACTATGCTATAGTGTTTATGCTCATAAATACTCACTGAAATGTTTTTAAGAAAAGTATAACAATAATAGAGGAATTAACGTGCACATGGCAAAAACATCCCAACCCAAATATTCTGAAATATAATCACATTTTCTTGTATTGAGCAGAAAAATCAGCCAATGAAAGACTGTAATGAGCCTTAAAACTAGAAAAAATTATAAAAATTTAAGCAAGCTGTGCTTATTACAAGCAATGAAAACTTTATTAAAAAATAGCTGAATTTGTATCTTTAATCTAAGATTAATAATTAGCCCAAAAATCTTACAATAATAATAAGACACAATTTCTTCAAACAGCATAATAAAAATAAGTGACTTTCTCTTAAATGAAGAACCTAGAAACACAGTTTGACATATTTTCTTAAAACCAGATTATTTTCATAATGCAGAACATGCTTGACAAGATTATTTTTCATTTCTCAGAAAAATTTCTTTTTTACTTTCCTAAGATTCCTTTTTTTGCAGTTTAAACTTTAAAAGCTCCCTGCAGTCAGAAATCAGTGTTTGTTCTTGTTCCTACAGTCTGATGTTTGAATGCTGTCTGTGCAGAGTTTGACTCTAGAAGGATATTTTCTTTCAGAAATTAATCTGCTGAAAGTAGAAAGTTTCTCTGAGCTCATTGAATGTCTGATTTTAAGGGGCAGGGCTTACAAGCATGATTTATGACATCACAAATAGTCAGGGAGTCAATCCTGGTCCAGTATCCAGCTTCTACAGTGAGATCCACCAGAGCACAGACACTGAGACTCTACAGTACAGGAGGAAACATCTTGTGTCCAACAGGAAAACGTAATTCAATCTTTTTCTTCTGCTTCAACAAACACACACTAATAATCGATCAGGTCTAATGACGTCATACCTGTGAGAGGGACACTGTGTCTACAGACACTGCTCCCGTCAGCTTTCTGTTGGTGGATTTGGGTGGTAGTGCAGGTGGATGCCCTGTTGGAGAATCCTTCTGCTGCTGAATCTTTTGAGTGTTGCCTGCGTCGCTGTGCTGAACATTCTTCTGGTCCCACAGAGTCCGCAGAGCTTGAACACTCACCCCAGGCTTCGCTCTGGGTTTGTAATTGACCACATCATACACCTCACCCGAGTTTTCCTGAAAATAACAACCTGTGTTATTTTCTCTATTCAATCGGGCTCCAACGAGGAAAACAAGTGAGACATGTAAATGATGCAGGCACCAGTCAAATTAGATTAGTGGAACAGCAATTATGATCTTTCAGATTTAGAAACTGGACTACTGTAGTGCACCAACTGACCCAACAATGTATTGTGTTTTAATGTTAACCTGTTACAATAAGTAAGTAAGTAAGTAAGTAAAGCTTTAGTTATATAGCATCTTTTTGACACAGAGACCCAAAGTGCTTTCCAAACAACAAATAAACATAACCATACCCAATCAAACAAACATAAGGAAGATAAAACAAGAGGGAAGGATAAATTAAAAGACAGTACAACAGGATGAGAGAACAAAACAAGGAGATCTATAAAAAGGCCTGTAGAGGATTAAAACCGTCCACAGATTCAGTGAATCTGAGTGAATGGGGAAGACTGGTCCACAATATTGGGGCTAAAACAGCAAAGGTCACCTTTAGATTTACAGTTAGAGCGTGGAACGGATAAAAGGCTGAGATTTGAGGAGCGGAGTGGCCGAGGAGTGGAATGAGGAACAAGGAGGTCTGAAATGTAACTGGGGGCAAGGTCATGAAGGTGCACCAAAAAAAGGCAGTACAACAGAAAATCAATCTGGTGCCTCTTTGATTATTTCATGGCAACAGATTGGAAGAGTCTACAGCCATATTAGCAGATTCTTGTTAGCTCACAGGCTGTGAGATAAAGCCTCCATGGATGAAAATATCATAATAGAGTAATAATTGATCTTACTTGGAGTTTGAGGTGTCCTGACAACAGTTTTAAAGACATCTCTTATAAAGGTGGTCTATAGGGAATATTTCACCGTATCCAGGTCTTATTTATACGTCTGTGGGCTTCAATGTACGAGGCACAGCGTTGTCACCATGCTAACATGCTGTTTGAACTTTCAGATTCAATGGCAGTTCATTCAATAGTTCAACATTTAAGAAACACCAGAATTGTGAACCACATGGTGCTTGAGGAAAAGTAATTAGGATACATCATCTGGGAACCAGTGCTACAAAATGAGGAGCCTATCCCTCTCACACATTGGAAATATTTTACTTTTAATCACAGCACCTGAAGCACTCTCAGTCCTGAGTGTAGTAAAAAGCCTCACATTGCATGAGTGACACCAACGTAGTTCAGCTGTACTCCGAACTCAGAGGGCCTCAGATTGTTCCTCCTATTTTACTAGATAGTCTGTAACTTTGTTGTGCAGATGGCGCCACATGAAAAGTCAGCGAACCACCAAAATCAATAGGATTCATCCTCTAAGGACCATTAATGTCTGAACAAAATGTCATGATAATTTATTGAATAGTTGTTACAGTTTCAGTCTGAATAAAAGTGGTGGATCGACCGACTGACATGAACCATCCCCAGAGTCCCAGCTACAGAAAAATAGTGAATAAAATTACATTTACTGTAATCTGTATTCCTTCAGATCAAACCTTTCTCACCTCATAACAGCTGGAGGTCAGGTATTCTCCAAAGGGCTGGATGGGGCTGACCTTGTAATGCTCGATCAGCTCTGTGAGACTGCCGTACGTCTGACAGTCTCCAGATATGACGAACTGTCCGTCTTGATTCTGGGTGATGACAAAATGCCGGCACCTGTCGTGGCCCCTTTTTAGAGGAAAAGACACGGCCGGTGAATGAAGGCAGTAAAGAATAAATTGCACAAAGGTTTAACAGACTTGATTTGCCTCACTTGTAGGACAGGATGTATCCGATGGCTTTATCACTGAGGCGAATGAGAAAACAGCCCAGAGCTTTATCTCTCAGTAGATCTTCCGTGTCCCTGGGGCAGAGAGGGAGACAGAACCAATAAACAGACTAACAGGCAAATTAGATTTAAAAATACAGCTGCTGTGTTATGAAACCTTCGTTCAACTCGTAAGTCTTCTAAAGTCACACATCAGCACACGTCGCTCAGAGAAAACAGAGATCCACTGGCGATACGTTCAGTTACATCCAGTCATTGATCCTGTAAGTCATTATAATGAGAAACTTTCTCATTATAATGACTTAGCAACTTACTTTAGTATCACAGAGCCATTATTTTGAGATGTGAAGTCAATAGTTGGAGAAGGTTTCTCATTATAATGACTTACAGAATCCTTTACTGGAAATGGGCTTCCATTGGAGAGATTAATTTAACTCACTTTAAATAAAACACACCCAGCTACAGCCTGCAGAACTCTAACTAACTGATCTACATCAATCATTGGCTAGGTAGTTAGTTGGCTGGCTAATGGTTAAATTAGATTAGCCAGCTAGTTACTGCTTATCTTATTACTGTTGTATCGAGTCAAGGTGGGGCTAGTTTTAACTGTTTTCTACGCCGTTAGGTAGTTTAATCCATCGCAGTGAGTACATCATATACTGTGTAGTGTAACTAAAGCAATTAGTAACTAAAACTGTCAAATGAATGTAGTGGAGTTCAATAAAGTACAATACTCTCCTGGAATGATTACGATTAAAGTTCAGCTGCATCATATTTGTTAGTAAAGCAGCAACTTTCAGTTTATGTTCATTCTGGCGCCCCCTGTGGACAACCGCTGTAGTGTTTCTGTCTCCTCGTTTCATTGATTTCAAGGGGAAACCGACCCGGTGTCAGACATTAAGAGTAACTAATCTTGTCTCTGATGGCCTCGTTTGTTTATGGAGGTCTTATAGAGGCTTCAGTGTTAAACTGAGACCGTTTTATAACCAGTTAAAAGCTCCTTGTAGTCAGTTTGAGTACTTTAATACATTTACTGTCCACCACATGACCTCAGTGTCCTCAGTAGCTGACAGATAAACAAACGTGGAAACAACATGATGTTGATGGCAGAAATATCTACACAATTCTATTCAAATAAAGGTAAATAAAATACCACAGCATGCTATAAACCACAGGGTCAAAGCCAGTTCATCCTCATCCCACTTCCCTCCTCTCCTTTCCCCACAGATCCTGTAGCACCGCACTGTGCTGCTTACTTTCTCGCAGCGAAGCCTTGAAACCAGTCCGGGAAGTTCCCGTTGTTGACGATGAGCGGCGCCTGCGTCTCGGTGAACCAGCGCAGCACCAGCTCCTTCAGGCCTCCCTCGGAAGTCTCCATGTGGAGGTCGACGCCCGGCTTCTTCTCCATCCTCACAGGTTTGTCAGGAGCTGATGGAGCAGTGGAGGCACACCATGCGTGCTCTGCGCACAGGTGAATGCTCAGAAGGAAGACAAGCTCTCTCATTTGACTATGACCGTTGGGCGTCGCTCTCATCTGAATAGTGGTATTGTTTCAGTTTATCTACCAATGGCTCTTCTGCCTCTCATTGGCCTGCCAGTTTCATTTTACTATCTCTGTTCCTTGTCCCAGATTGAACTTATTAACAAGCTTGGTGCGTTATTTCATTCTGTTTGTTTTCATTTGAGTTCAATTAATTAGTTTTTCCTCTATTTGACAAATGGATGATCTGATGTAGGGAGGGTATGAACATGGTGTGTGTTCCAGAAAGGTAAGACATTCAAATATAGGGTTAACCACATTGATTATGGAGGAAATTTGGTCATAAATCAAAGTAATTGCACAGTAAATGTGATGATGGGGGCAACTACATGGTTGAAAGTCCAGAGTTGCCAGAGTTCTTACAGTTCAATCCTGAGGGGAACATGAACTAAATTCCTTAATGATATATTCAATATTTATTGAGACATGTTGCTCAGAATGACAAATGTCAACCTCATGGTGGTGCAAGTATGATTCATCCTCTGGAGACCATGAATGTCTGACCCAGATTCATTTGAAGCTCACAATCCCAATGTCAGTCTATCCAGTAGTTGACCAACATTGGCCTCCCTAACGCAGCACTAAAATACACCTCTAATACAAACACCTTTGTATGAACATCAGTTTATTCTCTTGTGAGCGTGAATATGTTCAGAAAATGTGTCTGCACATTAGATTAGATTTAGACATTAGCAGCTTTTTGTGTTTGTAAATGATTTTCTGGCCCTTTTTTAACCTTTACTGTTGTTCATTGGCAGCGACAGCTTGAGACAGACTGGAATCAAACCCGGGCCGCTGCAGTAAGAACTCAGTACATTTAATAAACTGACGACAATTTCACAGATATTAAATATTATATTAAAAACTGTACAATGAACCCAAATAGTGAACTTTTGTGTAAAACGAGTGATTTGGATGAATTGTGAGACGATACTTTTTATACAATTATCTGTATGTATTATGTATTTCATTTACATTTTCAATTATAATTTTTAACAATCAATACAGACTTAATAGACTTCTGTTTTTGACAGTCAGTGTTTTATTAATCCTGACACTTTATGCTGTTGCTATTAGACAATTTACTTTACATTTACCGGCTTTTATTCACAGAACTGAATCAACTACTGTGTATATTATTTTAAGTTTTCAACCTAAAATCTAAAATGAAGAAGGCCTTAGCAAAGTAATGAGAAAAGGGTAATAACATTTATTTGAAGGGGAAAATGTAAATATCCTGTGAAGGTTTTTATTGATCAGAATTTGTATTTCCTGAACAGTTTTCAAAGAGTGAAATAAATAAATAGATAAATGAAACCAGTAAATGTGAACATTAATCAGCCTTATTGAAATAATACATGTATTATTGATTGATTATCAGAGTTCAGTGTACCGGAGCGCGAGACAACAGGTGTCACAGTGTCACGCGCGAGCTGAACAGATGGTCGAGCTATAAGGCAGGGCGCGCGCACCGAGACGCTGACGCCAAACCTCGTTTATATTATCGCAAAGAAACTTTTTACTTGAATGTGTTGCCCAGGTAAATACCAGAATTAACTCTTTTGAATGCATCTCCTGAGTTTGTACGGTTTAGTTTACGATTCGGCTTTAAATAAATAGACCTAAAATCTTTTAAAAATACGATTCCACACTACTTTGTGTAATGGTGTGAGAAGCTGTATGAAGAAATGGAAAGTTTAAATGTAATTCAAACGAGCTGCTTTATTGGCGCTGTTGTCACTGAACTGTACACTAGGAATAGGAAACAAATCTACTAATTTTATGCAACGTTAGCCTAGTTTCAGTATAATCAGTGTCGCGTTAAATTAGCGGTTTTCTAAATGGAGTTCTGCACGACGCTCTCTCCGTGCTGGTGAGCGGAATGTGGTGGGACATGGCAGAGTCCTGGTGGCCTGAACACAACACTGGAGACACACAGAGGACAGGAGGAGGACATGGTGTTTACGATAAAGACTTTATAACACGGTGAGACAGTTTAGGTTCACATGGTGTTATTTGGCACAGCTGGTGTGTTATTTATGACCTGTGACAGTGATAGTTTCTTACTTCAGACTGTGTCCACTCGGTTGTTCCCACTTTAAAGGCAACATACAGACACTTTCCATAAACTTATTATTTGTTTGTGTGGAAGCGTTTTTCTTCCCTCAGATGATAAAATAACTGTAAATGTGTTATTGCAGGTAAAGAAAATGAACTTCAAACATCAGTGAGGACTGCAGACATGGACCTATTCAAACAACAGAAAGTGGAGGATTTCTATGAAATTGGTGAAGAGTTGGGAAGGTACAGACATGCATGCATTATGTGTTATCTCATCTGTTTTTAATTCAATCTAATATTACTAATAATGGTGGGCTGTTTATTGTTAATCAGAATCCGGTGTTTCCTGCATATATAGAAAACAACATAAGGACACAAATAGTAATTTTAAAAATAACCCAAATCTTGTCTAGAAACTGAACTACAACTAAAAACTATGACCGATAATCCAACTCTATACATTTTATGTATTTCATTTGTCCATTTATTTCAGTATTTTCCGTTTTTTATTCAAATGTTTTTGTATATTAAGAAATAATGTATGAAGAAATCCAGTCAGGGGAAATTAGAATTCAAGATAATCCATTCGTCTATGTCTATAAATAAATATTTGGAAAGGCAGAAATTAAAAGTAAAAGATGTAACAGCCTAATTATGACCATATTATTTCATTATTGTACTACAGTCAGATATCAGTAATAGTGATGTACAGAAAAACCACTCTGAACCCAGTAGAGGGTGTTTCTGTAGTAGAGATCTGCATAAATTGAATAATAATGTATCACTTAGACTGAAATATTCAGAACGAAACAGAAATAAAGTTGTATTTTAGTCCCAATTTTGCTGCTGTGTCGTCGTCAGGTGGAGACAACTGTTGTGCAAGTCAAGCTTCTTTTTAAAGGAGTCTTCTATCTTTAGCCGTGGCTAAATCTACTCTACCAGACTGGCTGCAGATGAGGAAGTCGAGTGTTAGCTTACAAAACTGAACCAGAGAGTGAGCCGGAGAAAACAAACACATGCAGCTGTACAGTCACATGATATAACCTTTAAAATATTCAACCCTCAACCACATCAAACCCTGCGATTGACATGAAGTGTTTGCTTGGATCTGGATGTGTGTGAGTGTCTATGTGAGTGGCAGGCTTATCGCTGAGTGCGGCGCTATGAATAGACTGAAGTGGTGGAAAGGTTCAGTCCCAACACGGCCCTGTGGCACTGTGGGGCAAACATTCAGCAAATAATACCCCAACAGGGCAACTGCATGACAACCTTATGTACCCTGGGTCAGTCACGAGCAGTGAGAGTAACTCATTACTAGTAATAATAGTATTTTCCTCAGTAACTAGTAATATAACTAATTACTAACATATGTGAGCAGCTGATTATTCACATTACTGTGATTTTAACAAACAAAACTGGATTTTAATCGTTGAATTTTGGGGAGAACGGACACAATTACCAATGTTTTGGGGGGAGTAGTAGTGTAACTAATTACTGTTGGCAAGGAGTAATAAGTAAAGTAATTATTATGTTTTGAAAAGGGTAAAACCATAAGAATGAACCCTTTTAATTGTTTGAAACTTTCTCCTTTGGTTGAAGCGCCTCCATCAGGCCAATCTGTGCAAAAGTTCAAAATAACTGAAAATTAAAGCAGAAGTCTTCGCTGGAGGAAAGTGTTGAGTTGAGTTTAGTTTAGTTTAGTTTAGTTTAGTGTAGTTTAGTTTAGTTTGGTTTAGTCAGACAAATGTATGGATGTTTTTTATAAGTTGTGTGTTGAATGTTGAGTTTAACCTGTTTTAGCTCAGAGAGAGAAATATACACTTTATTTCACACAGAAGTTTCTACCAAAAAACATCCAGTAGTCGAGGCTTTAATGAGGAGAGATCATCTGAAAATGATTTTTTTTTAATTAACCACTTTGTAGAGCAATTCTGAAAATGTAATTATCAATTTTATTTTCTTCTATTTTCTATTATATTTCTTCTTCGTCCAGTTTTCCTTTATAATTTTCCACAACTTCAGCGTTAGACGCCACTAAATCCTACAGACTGCTCCTTTAACTGACTGAATGACACTAAATATAAAACATACAACATAAACATCATAAACACTCCTTTATGTTAGTGATGGGAGTCGATACAAACACTTCAAATAAAGTTTAAAGAACCTTAATCTGAATCTTTTGGGCTTTTCGTCACCAGAGATCTTCCTTATTCCTTTTCAAACTGGCCGTGGAGACAAAAAGTAAATTTAGCCTTTTATTTACAGCCCGACCAGAGCTGAAGATACAATACTCATGTTGATATTTAATTTTTTTTTTTTTTATCACATTATGATATATTAGCTGTTAATGCTGTTATTAATAAAGTTTTTAACAGACACATAAAAAAATCCTTGGGTATTTTGTGGAATATAATTGTGACCAATATGTGCTTAATGATAAACAGTGCTCTCTGGTGGACACATTAGGTATTAATAACTGATTTCTTATTGCTTATTGATCAATATAAAATCAGACTCTGGTAAATTTATGATGATCTTATATCCAGAAGGAATTCATCTAAACTTTAGACAATAACTCAAAGAATTCTCTTCCCGTGTTTCAGCGGGCAGTTCGCCATCGTGAAGCAATGCAGAGAGAAAAGCACAGGTCTGGAATTCGCTGCCAAGTTCATCAAGAAGCGGCAGAGCATGGCGAGCTCTCGGGGAGTGCGGCGGGAGGAGATAGAGCGGGAGGTGGACATCCTGCAGCAGATCCAGCACCCCAACATCGTCACGCTGCACGACGTCTACGAGAACCGCACCGACGTGGTGCTCATCCTGGAGCTGTGAGTGAGCGGGGATCAGACGGGGCAGGAACCAGGAACAGTTCAGGGATTTTAACAGGAAAGGATGATACATAGGCTCACAGGCAGAGAGTCTGGCTGGGGGGGACAGGTGAGGGGGGACAGGTGAGGGTGTTTGAGGGCATCTGGTGGATGCATGGAGGAAGACAAGCCTTCCTAAGAGTTCCTGAATAATGAATGAGCCTGGAGGAAGAGTCTGGAGACGGGGACAGAGGGTCAGACTGAGTCATATTTCACTGTATTGCCAGTTCTGAAAGGTTATATCAGGTTGTGCCCTGGAAAACCTGGAATACCTGGAAAATAAGAGATTCATTCCAAAGTAACAAAAACACAATGATTCCTATTTTAAGGTGATTATACACTAATGAAAACAGTCATTAATATCATATTCCATTTCTGACGATAGATCCTCTTAAACATTACACACACACCTTTCAGGACCTCTACTGGAATTTTATTTCACTATAACTGAGGTCAGAAAAATTGTGAAAATGTTATAATATCCTGTATGATGCACTTTACCTGGAGCAAGTCACAGTATGTTGCTTTTGAATGGCTCTGTAATGATTGCTTTCAACCCCAACCCCTCTGTTTTATCATTTCCTTGAACTCATCAAACAGTTTATTGAGCCATGTGAACCAAATAATTCAGTAACTACACGTTTTATTAATGTGTGCTTCAATCTGGACATTAAGAGACTAGTTTTCCAGTCATGGAAACACCTGGAAATTGATTAAAACGACCAAATATCCTGTAAATAAGTTTTATATTCATATATTAGAGGGGATATTTTGAACACATGTGAATACAGTAGTTATGTTATAGTTCCTGCCTCGCTCTACACTGAGTTATGTATCAATCAGGAGGCGGTCGGTGATACGTGTCTGTGTTCCAGGGTCTCTGGAGGCGAGCTGTTTGACTTCCTGGCACAGAAGGAGTCTCTGAGCGAGGAGGAAGCCACTCAGTTCATCAAGCAAATCCTGGAGGGTGTGAACTACCTCCACGCCAGAAAAATAGCACACTTTGATCTCAAGGTTTGTTCTGCACACGACATTCTCTGGAATTTCTCTCATATTTAACATTAGAGAAAATATAACCATCCAGATCTGCTCTTACTCAGGTGGGCTGAATGATGAATCCCACTTGATCTGAACTTGGAGGCGGGGGGCTGTTTGTTTCTTATTAGCACTGCTTACGCCCCTTAAACACTAAGGCTGGCGTCTCAAACTCAAACTGTCTCGGGGCCACTGCTGTGATCTGATAGGAGCCCCTACAACATTCAAGTACTTTAAGAAAGAGACATATTCTGAATCTATTTAATATTCTTACATCATACTTAACAAAAAAATGCATACAGCAGTTTCTCTACGTTTTTATATCATCTTTGCTGTTAGCAGCCAAACAACAGATGATTGCTCTCTACTTATCAACTGTTTGCACACGTTTGCCATTATTTTGAGCCAAATAGAACACATTCTATTTTAATAGTATATGAAAGGGTGAGTTTAAATTCATATAAAGCTAGAATGTAATAATCCAATCACTGTAATTAATCTAAAACATATAATCTAATCTGATTATATGATTGAGAGAGAAGCAAAAACAAGAAACCATTAGTGAATCCTAGAATATAAATTCTAAAAACAAATAATGGGAACGATGGAAAGAGAAAATGTCACATATATGGAGGTCAAAGGGTCACACCGACACGCGCGGCGACCTCACGGTGAACTCAGTCATAGATGTGACATTTTCTTAAAGAGACAAAAGCTCGTTTCATGCTTCATGGGTCTGTTGCTCAGGATGACTCAGCGTTGTTTGTTTCTCCCAGAAATACAACAAACTTATCAGAACAGTTCATTTCTTGGGATTTGAACATCAACGTGAGAATGAGGTCGAAGGATCAGACGTCTCTTTGTGTGTCTGCCTGTTGACTGCTCGTCTGCCCGCTGTCTGAATGACATGTCACTGTGACTCTATGCCAACAAACAACAACAACGAAATCTGTAAATAATGGTGTTAAGACGCAGCGCTCTGTCTGATCCTGAGGTCATATCAGTAAGTGACAAACAGCTGTCGGACATGTGACAGTTTCTGTTATTGCGACTGTTTAAGAACGTGTGTGTGTGTGTGTGTTTGCAGACAGTTTGTTTATTTTTCCTTCCTTTCTTTTGGTGTTTGTTTATTTTCTGATGAAGTTAGTTCTTCACCATGATAATGGATAAAAACCAGAGACAACTATCTCACTCAGGGTCCGCCGCTGTCGATCATATCTTCTTCAGCAGATGGAGTTTGCTCAGTTGAAGATGTTTCTTTTGTCATCCATGTTGGCTAAAATCTCGAAGGCCGAATGAGGAAATATAGAATACTTTACTAATTAATGTTATTATACAAAGTAAAGTGTAACTCTTGAAGTTTGTGAGAGGACAGACGAGTAAAACTGAGTGAGAGCGGTTATTATTGCACATATTGAAAGTTTAAGAGTTTCATAGATTGTACATTTTATGTGGCTAGGACTCGCTCGTAAAAGAGATTTGGAGTCTCAGTGGTAATATTCCTGGTCACATAAAGGTCAAATAAACGGGAGGAATAAGTTGAAGTAGGTGTGGAGATGTGTGAATCCTTTCTGTTCTCGTGTGGGTCGAGGGTTTTCTACCAGGCGGTCAGATTAGATGTTTGATGTTTGAACCAATAAATCAGAAATGTTTAGAGTTTCGGTTAGAGTGGATACTGTTGTTAGTCTGTTGTTAGTTTGCCAGATAGTAGAAGAGAAACTTCCCACGCATTCTGGAAAACCTGGAAATGTGGAGACTAGTTTTCCGGTCATGGAAACACCTGGAAACTGACTAAAATGACCAAATATCCTGGAAAATGTTGTGTTTTAACTCGACTGCACATGTGACAGAATTCTCACAGCAGCCCAGTGGAAAAATGTCTTGTTGTTGTGGTTAATAAATACTTCCACTCACACTTTCTACTTCTTTTAACAGTAGCTTATGTTAGAGGGAAACTGTAGTAAATGTTAGAGGAAAGCTCTTAAAGGAATCAAATTAACACAGTGTCTCCTAAACACTGACCACATACTGTAATGAACCTGAGACTGTAGTGAACAGAGCCGCTGGTCTTACAGGTGGAGGGTATAATGAGGTAAATACATAAAGGGGATTTGTTCCACTAGATGGAGCAATTAGCTGAGTTTAATCTCAAATTGTATTCCTCACTGATCTCTAGTGGTGATGTTTCTGTTGGTGCATTGTTTGTGGTAGAAATGAACACACAGACAGTTCTGCACCTGAATGAATCTCTAAATATTATAAGATACAGTTAAATGCTTCATTTGTAGCTCTCAGTAAGTGTCTCTCTCTCTCGTCTGCAGCCTGAGAACATTATGCTGCTGGACAAGAACGTGCCGCTGCCCAGAATTAAACTCATTGATTTCGGTCTCGCACACAAGATTGAAGCTGGGGTTGAGTTCAAAAACATCTTTGGAACGCCGGAGTTTGTAGGTAAGACGAGTGCATTTGTTACTTCTTCTTTGATTCTGAACTTTTTCAACAAGGATATTTAAAAACAATAAAAACAAATGGAATCTCTCCAATGTCCATAGCTGCTGTAATTTTACAGTAATGTCCGTCCAGGCTGATAATGTCCACACATTATTTTGAGAGTGCTTTAGATCCACTCTCAAAGGGAAACATAAAGCAACATAAACTATTTAGTTGAAGGTCATTTACTTTCTGATATAATCAATTTTTAATATTTTTTTACCATTAAAACCACAGAACTGTAGAGTAATACTGTATATTAGGCTTCGTGATCACAACTTCTGTCCATATCTCGCTCGTCCATGTGAGTGGTCGTCTCTACCTGAGTGTCTTCCAGCAGACAGGAAATGGAAAATGTTCTGTCCGACTCTGCTTAAATTTCTGGCTGCACCCACATGGAGATTCGTCTGGAAACTTCCTGTCATATTACGAAAATAGTTTCTGAATCTGTCTTCATTTTAGATAGTTGTCGATAGATAGATAGTAGATAGTCGGCAATGTTAGTTTAAAAGGTTTTTCAGTTGTTGTTTTTTGTTGAGGAAAGCTGTAGTCGATAGGCCTTTTTCACAGCAGCCGTTGAAATAGTAGGATAAACAGAGGTGTTGCCAATTAAGGTCACGTTCCATTCAGGTTAAACAGAGTCAGGGGCCATGTTGGCTTGTCGGAAAGGCTCTGCTACACTAAATGGAATGAAGCCTTAGTTAGTATTTACTGGTACCACCTGTGTTTAGCCTACTGTTACATGTCAAAATGGCTGCTGTGAGAAAGGTCTGTCCGGAATGTGGAAAAATGTGGTGAGAACAGCCAATTGTGCCACGAAATCGAGCTGACACAGAGTTTGTGATAAACACTGACCACCGTCTGTGAGCGAGCGCTGTCCTGTATCGACAAGAAAAACACCAGGAAGGAGCGCCCCGTCAGCTCAGTCGGTAGAGCTGGTGACCCATATGAGGAGTTGCTGCTGCGGCCCGGGTTTGAATCCGACCTGCGGCCCTTTGCTGCAAGTCCTCTCTCTCTCTACCCACCTTTCCTGTCTTTCCACAGCTGTCCTATCCAATAAAGCCATGAAAAGGCCAAAAAAATAACTCCTGGAAAATGATTTCTTAACGTGGGAGCCCTGCCTTAGATGACCGCAGGAATTGATCTGTGTAAAACGATCCATAAATTGTTATATGAGATGTTCATGTGCTGATGTTTGTCAAATTTCTCAGCTACTTTCTGTCATCTGTTTGCCTCTTAAGCTCCGGAGATCGTCAACTATGAGCCTCTGGGACTAGAAGCAGACATGTGGAGCATTGGTGTCATCACCTACATCCTGCAAGTGAACATCACTTACAGTACACAGTCTTAGACTTACACATATACCATATATAATACTGCAGCGTCCTACAAACAGGAAGATAAACTGCTCCTCCTTTTATGTTTGGCTCCAGGCTGAGCGGCGCTTCACCCTTCCTGGGGGAGACCAAACAGGACACACTGAGGAACATTTCAGCCATAAATTATGAGTTTGACGAGGAGTTCTTCTGTCACACCAGCGCGCTGGCCAAGAAATTCATCAGCCAGTTGCTGGAGAAAGATAAAAAGTAAGAGCTGGAGCAAAACATAGTGATCGACGTTTACCTCGGGGTGTTTATAATGGTTTGGTAACATTAATTGGATTTTCTGCTTTATCTTTCAGGAAAAGATTAACAATTCAAGATGCTCTCAATCATCCATGGATCAAGGTAAAGTTAAAATTTAACTTTGTCTGCATCCTGTGGTATTACAGCCTGAATTATGGATGCATTTAATAACTTTTTTTTGGTAAAGATCTATCACGAAACGTCAATTAGAAGCAGGTCTCCTTTACTAGCCTTGTGTGGCTACATGTTTTGAATATGTTTTAAATGAACTGTTTGATAGTATTTCACATCTTTGCTAAGAAACTTAATTAAAAGACTTACTTAAAGTTTTACTGTACGTATATATGTGTTTCATATTTATGTAATATCAACAAAGACAGACAGCGATGTGGTTATTCTGTCCCAACACAGCTCATCACCCGTTCACAGTTAACACCATCATATGCATAGTGTCGTGGTAGCAGGCAGTGGGAAGGCTTAAATCAGTAGCAGAGACCTGAACTGAACTAATTAAATGGAGCCAAGAGCAAACAAAGTCCTGAGGCAAACCTGCTGCAGGCTGCCAGACTGGAGCTTTGATTCATGTCCCAAAATGTCCCAGCGCACCCGGCCAAATCAACTTAACAAGAATGCTAATTTTGTTTCCAGCTCTAGATTTAAAAAAATGGAAATTTGTGGCAATATATTTAATATTCTTATGCAAATTGTCTGAGCTTTAGAATAATTAAATTCAGTATTTCTGTAATGAAATGTATATTTTTATGCCTTTTGTATGTCTTTATGGGCCAAAACAATGAATTCAGGCTGAAACACCTCAAAATGTGGACAAACAAATATGTTTATCACATGTTCATTATTATAACTTAATATTGTTGGTGCAAAGATTAGAGCTAATGAGTTATTTACCCTTTGAACTGGCAGGTGAGCAGTGGCAGTTTTTATAGAGGCTGTCTCACATGTTTTAACTCATTATGGCGCCTAACAGGCTTGATTACAGCAAGTATGTACGGTTCCCTTTACTCAGATATGCTATGTGCTAGGCTAATGTGTGTTGAAAAGACAAGCACATTTCGAGCATGGTTAAAAGATAAAAGAGACATACTGTATATATAGTCACATCTTAATTTAGCTAATGTTGTACAGAGCAAAATGCTATCTCTGGCTCTGATTGGTTATTTTCGTTGGGACCCGGTGGATTCTTATAAATACCATTAGGACCAGTAGGAGGAACCAGAAGAACCTGATGTTTTTACAGATTATCTGTCTCGTGTTCTACTCTAATATAGTAAAGCTTCAGCAAATATGACAAAAAATATTTGTATAAAAATGACCGACTGCAGCTTTAATTGTGCAGCCTTATGCACTACTGCATGAGCTCTCTGTACCTGTGGTGACTAACTATCCCTTCTTTAAACCCCTCTAAAAGTCCAATGAGCACAAGGAGGAGAATAAAGCCCGGGAGCCGAAGAAACGGGAGCGGCGCCAGCTGAAGACCAAGCGCCTGAGGGAGTACACTATCAAGTCCCACTCGAGCATGCCACCCAACAACACCTATGTAAACTTTGAGCGCTTTGCCCAGGTGGTGGAGGACATTGACCAGATGGAGAGCTCGTTCGTTAGCTTGGCGGCAGCCCACGACTCTCTGCAGGAAGACATCGATGCCATGGTCTCTATATACAACGAGAAGGAGGCCTGGTACAAGGAGGAGAGCGAAGGCGTGCGCCACGAGCTCTCGCAGATCCGCTACGAGTTCCGCAAGGTGGAGGCCTTCAAGAGGAGCCTGCAGGACGACATGCAGGCGTTCAGCTCCAGCCTCGGGGCCATCAGCAGCCGCTACCAGGAGAGGCAGAACCACTTCGATGCGCTGCGTCTGGAGCTCAGCAACGAGCTGAAATGGGTGCAGGAGGTGATGGGTTCGTTTCCCACGGACGGAGGCGGCGGAGGATACCCCAACTGCAGCTTCTCCACCGTCTTCAACAACGACGTGAACGAGGCCCTGAAAGAGCTGCTGAACCGCTCCTGTGGAGGAGAACTGCTGTCCGGGATCAACCTGGACTTTGAAAGTGGACAGCAGAGATAAACCGTCGTCACAAGAGGCTGCAGAGAGAGGACTGTGTAAGGCCCTCGAGGAGGATCTCTGGTGCTACACGTTAAGATTTGGCAGAAAAACAGAAATATTCTGCTATTTTTGTAAAAAAAACAGCTCATTTCAAGCTGAAAATAATAATTTGAACAAAAAGCAAAGAACTTTTTAGCCAATGATGTCTATTGTCTGTGTTGGAGATAATAGGCTTTTTCATATGTGTATTTTCTCTATGATAGCTTAGTATAAAAACAGTATAAACACTTGTTAGTATGGATGTGTGTTTTGTATCTGTCAGTATCAAAAGCAAACTCATTATGAACTGTTGATAAAATCACAGACATTTACATAATTTGATGTAATTTCTGCCACTCACATCAAAACAATAACAACAGATGAAGTTAGATGACGCTGTGAAACAGTGGGATCATGGGAGTTGTTGTCCACCATTTGGTGTCTATTGCAGTCAGCTTCTCCCGGTCTAGGATTCCTTCAGTGTTCCATGGTTCAGAGAGGTTTCTCGGAGCACCAATAATCCACAGAAGGTCTCCTCCTCATCCAAAACAAACAGACCTCGCTGATTAAAACCACTAAACACCACTGAATATAAGCAGTCTCCACCTTAAAAAATCACTGCTTCTCCCACGCTGTTGGACAGACAAAGGACTCGGAGGGGCTAGCGAGCCGAGCTGCTCCTACGTTAGCTCGCTTGTTTCTCCTGAGTAAGTTTAAGATCGCAGCTGATGTCCGAATGACTAAAATCCTTCATCCGGCCTTCTAAATCTGGAGTTTAAAAGCAGAACAAGATCTAAACATGGATGGTAAAGAATGTGGCTTTCGACTGGACTAAACGTCAGATGATGAACAGCTAATCTGGCAGACAACGCACGCCCAACGCTGACGCAGGCACAAAGGGGATATGACGGGTGAACAAACTTTACCGCTGAATACAAACATTCTGGGATACGCATATAGAACACAACTACATATACGCAACATAGAAGCCAGAGTTTATACACTGTTTAGTGAGGAAATGTTGCTTTGTTTGTTGATTGTAGCTTTAAATGAAATTCAAACACTAAAAAGTAGGTAACTCATGAGTTCAGATTGATCAATACTTCGACAGACAGCTGATCTTTACACAAGCGCTCTTACTCAATATTGTTTGCTTTGTAAATTTGCACTAGACTGAAGCACCCACGATGCGGTTTCAGAAGTCTCGTGAATACACGTGTATCAGCATGTACAGAACAGCAGCACAGTGTTCACTCCAGTCCAATTCATTTTCTAGAAAGCAACCGAATCCAAATTAAAGCTGGGAGCATTTGGGGCATTTAAGGTGAAGTAAAATATCTTTACTTATACATTTACAATATCTACAATAAGTCTTGTGACATCACAAATAGTTCAGGAAGTCAACACGGGTCCAGATTGTAACTTCTACAGTGAGATCCACCAGAGCACCGACACTGAGACTACAGTGAAGGAGGAGACATCAAAAATAACAAATAGCAAAAATATATTAACAGTTTCTATAATTTTTAATGAGATAGAAGATGACTTTTTAGGGATTTTAATGTGAAAATTATAGGATTTTTGCAGGAGAAATACATCAGAGACAACACAGCCTTGAGTGTCGGAATCACTAGAAGGCGCCTATACAAGTACAGGTGCCATTAACCATGAAGCAGGTCTACTTTGTATTTATGGTGACAGGTCCAGTGGCAGGATGGCCTCTAGCGGTGAAGTTGCAGATTGCAACTAACTGAACACCATTCGCATCTGTATTTGACGACCTGTGAATGAGAACAAGCCGTGAGCGTGTGGGAGAAACTACAGTGGACGTGAACATTTCTGTATTTATCTGTTCTGGGTCACTGTAGAAACATGGCGGTTCAACATGGCGGACTCCGTTGAAGACGACCCGCTATCTCTGTAGATACAAAACGTCTCATTCTAAGATAACAGAAACACAACTATTCCTTTTTACACTAATAAAAAATATACCTCTGATATTATCTTCCATTTCTGCCAGAAGATCCTCCTCACTGTTACACACTGGAGCTTTAAAACATGTCTGGAGGGGACTTTTAAAGTTGCTTAAATATAATTAAATAAGTCTTAAATGCAGTTTGGTGTGTTGGTTCCCTGATGCAGTATTTTCTGATGAGTAATGCAGAATAAGCTTGTTTTCGCCGTTTATTTGCCATCGTGATTCATTTGAAACGCCATTTAAAAGCTCAAACTAGCAGTCACTGTGGGCCAGCTGCTGAATCACGGAGCTAACGAGTGTGTCAGCCATGGGGTGTAAGTCATGACGGCAGTGATGAGAGCTGCAGGCCAGGGAGGGATACTCTGGAACGGATCAGAGACTATGACCGGCTGGGACACCACGGAGACTTCAGACGAGGAGGGGAGGCAGCTCAGCGCCTGAAATCAACACCCAGAGCGAGCCGCACCATATGTAGATACTCACTACTATTCTGAGAGCACGTGTGTATTTATGGGATGCTCATTTCAAGTATCAGACTGCATCTTGAAAGGTATTTAAACTCTGCATATCAAACTTTTAACCACCTGCTTCGTTCTGGAGAATAAGTCAGCTCAAACGTGTAAATTTGGGTGTAAAAATTGATGCATTCTCCAAATGTGAGAGTTAAAAAGGCGAATCCAACAGCACAGGAGATACATCAGTCTGAGCCTCAAAGTGGCACATTTAGAGCTCATTTCACTGAACAGACACAGCACAATCGCTCCCACGCCAGCAGACCGGTGGAGGTATAGATGTGAATTGATTACAGTGTAGATGAGGGGTGGGCAACCTGCGGCTCTGGAGCTCCTGTTCAGTGGCTGTGCAAAAAACTGATACTGAAATGAACAACAGTTGTGAAGTGAGTCTCACAGTCTCCAGTTATAACACTGTGTAGCTATTAAACACCAAATAAAAGAGAATAGTTTTAACAATTCCTCCACTAAAATACGAGTCGTACGTTACGTCCTGATGCCTCTTTCTACATATTTTTTAACTTCATGGCTGATAGTCTTCAGTTTCCTTATTCACACACACACACACACACATTCATTTGCTTTCACCGCCAACAACACTGGCTTACTGGTTATTTTTGAACTGTGCTAAGATCTGTATTATTTTTCTTTGTTGGCCACAGTGGCTCTTCTGATGCTAAAGGTTGCCTCTGATACAGAGCGACAGACTTCTGCACTGACTACAGGTTGCAGTGAGGCAAACGTTTGTCACAATGATCTGTAGCTGTGAGCAAACGGGTGTTGATTTTGATTTATTTTCCATTTTTGGAACATTTCTTAAAGTTTAGATTTGTTGTAATAAGTCGCCCACTTTAATCGATCATTATCCTTCATCCATCGACTGAGTCTTGACCCTGGATCGTGCAAAACGAATTTCGTACGAATCTGAGCAGTTAATTACGACATATTAACGTTTCGTGTTTGTGGCGCCCCCTACAGGGGAAGCAAGCCCTGGGGCCCTAGAGCTTTAAGGTGCTAACTAAATGAGAAAAAAAGTCATGTTTGATTTCATATTTATAAATTTTTATCTCATAATGTGTTTTATCATATTATTATGACTTTTATCACATAGTTATGTCTTTTTATGTCATAATTATGTATTTTTGTCTCATAATGTTGAATTTTATCTAATAATTTTGAGTTTTCATCTCATAATTTCTGATCATTTTGAGTTTTTATCTTTTATGTTCATGGCTAAGTTTTCATCGTACTTTTTTATGTCACTGTCAGAAATGTGCTTCCATAGTAATGTCTCTGGTTGAAGTGAGGTTATCTTTCTGCCTCCCCCATAAAAAAACGCCTACAGTACAAACAGTAAAGGAATCTGCTGCTCAGATAAAGTAGGAACTTATCTAGGACTGAGGCTGAGCTGGAGTCTGCATCGTCGAGATAACCACAAAACCAACTTCAGACCCAACGTGACCTGAGTTATTATAGTTTTATGTTTTCATTAATTAGTTATTATTTTGTCTCTAATTTTTGTTTTCCGTTCATTTCCAAAGTGGGTTTTTATTGTTTAAAATGTTTAGTTTTAGTTTGTTTTTTATAGTTTCTGTGTGACTTTCAGTTTATTTTACTTTTATTTTTTATAATAATATTACAATACAACAATACAAACACATTGACTCACAGCCATGTGATTAACATATGCACCAATTACTGCATTATTATTATTATTAGATGATGTCACCGATATGTGAATTTCTATTAACCTTGCCAAAATAATTGATAATGATTATAAAAGAAACATATTTAAAATGCTTGAATTTACTGCTGATATAAACAAATCTTTGAGATGTTTATTAAAAAGGTGTCTTTTAGTCACATTTGAATTAATCATGGCAAACATATAAAGACAGCAGTGAAACTGTATATAAGTGTATATTATAAATGACATTTAACAGTATGATGTCAGTATTGATCTCCTATATATCTGTGCTGCTGGAGCTCTTTGTCTTTGTCAATGAACTTTATGATATACAGTGCCTTGCGAAAGTATTCGGCCCCCTTGAACTTTTCAACCTTTTGACACATTTCAGGCTTCAAACATAAAGATATAAAATTTTTATTTTTTGTGAAGAATCACCAACAAGTGGGACACAATTGTGAAGTGGAACGAAATCTATTGGATATTTTTAAACTTTTTTAGCAAATAAAAAACTAAAAGGTGGTGCGTGCAGAATTATTCGGGCCCCTATTTCAGATGCAGCAAACTCCACTCAGAAGTTCAGCCGAGTATCTCTGAATGATCCAATGCTTGTTCCTTTAAAATGACTGATGGTACTAAATAGAATCCACCTTGGTGTGTAATTCAAGTCTCTGTATAAATGCATACCTGCTCTGTGATAGGTCTAGGGGTTTGCTTTGGAAAGCGCAGGAGCATCATGAATTGACCAAAGGAACCACCAGGCACGTCCGTAATACTGTTGTGGGAGAAGATTTAAAGCCGCGATATTGGGATATAAAAAGATTTCCCAAGCTTTAAACATCCCAACGGAGCACTGTGCAAGCGATCATTTTGAAATGAGCAAGGAGTATCAGGACCACTACAAAATCTACCAAGAGCTGGCCGCGTCCTACTAAACTTTTCAGCTCAGAAAAGGGAGAGACTGATCAGGAAGAATGCAGCCAAAGAGGGCCCATGACACTCTGGATGAAACTGCAGAGAACACAGCTGAGGTCGGGAGAGGTCTGTCATAGGACACAATCAGTCGGTACACTGCCACAAAAA